TTTTTTTTGTGTGTTTTTTTTTTTTTTTTTTTTTTTTTTTTTTTTTTTTTTCCCTTTTCTTTTAGTCCTACACTGGTTGTGCCAATGCCAACATTTTTCCTTGTAGGCAATCTTCACACTTTCACCAGAAGACTTTGTACAACACTGGTAACTCTGTCAGAGTTAGGTTTTTTGGTTTCTGGCATGCCGGTAGTTCACTGTTAAGCACATTCCTTACCTTATTTTGCTGAAATGTGGCATGTAGGTGTAAATCCAGCTGCTGTTAGATGCATATTCTAAAAAATGTTTTGAAATGAATCAAGTGAACTCTTAAGCAATCTGGAATAACAGGCCACATACAGTGACTTGTTTCTGGAGATCCTTGCACTGTGTGATGCTCACGGTGAGGTGTTCTGCCAAGCGGAAAAGTGAAATAAATGAGCAAGAAATACAGGAGTAAGGAGGTGACTTGTCTCTGGTGGTGTGGTACTTCAGGGTGTGGGTGAGGGTGCATTCTGCATTGTAAATGCTAAGTGAGTTTGGGTTTTGCCTAATTTTAACATCTGCTCTTACTGCTAAATGTTTCCTATAGCTGACTTTAGGCCTTTTGTTCCTCCTTGAGTCAAGTGACTACTTAAATCCAGAACTGAATTCTCCATATACCAATTGTAACTGATGCTGTTGCAGACCAGAGAAATTATTTTAAAATGTAAGTCTGAAATTAAGTAGGTTTCATTTTAGGGTGATCTTGCATACAACTGGTGTTAATGGTACATTCTGCTGGGGCTTATAGAAGAAAGCTTTTCTAGATTTCACACTGTATTTGACATGCTAACCTTTCTGAAAGACGGGGATTGTCAGGTAGGTGCAGCTGTTCTAGCCACCACTACAAGCAAGAGACTATAATTTAGTTCTAAGCAGTATCTAATGATCTACTATAGTTCCGTTGTTTGCCATGTACATACTCCTGCAGCTTTGCCGCTTTGGACCTTGACCAAATGCAGAAGTTGGTTAGAAATCTTTTAGTCCTGTTTCTGTCCAAGTTCTTACTACTCCCTTCAAAGACTAGGAGGATAAGTCTTTCTAAAAGAGAGATTTGAGAGACCTTCAGGTAAAACTGAATTAAAACTCTGGCAACAAAGTTAAGTCAGTTATCACAGCCTTATTGTATACATTATTCTGAACAGTAAATACTGTAATGTGTTAAACTTACAAATAAAGGCTTTGGGATTTTTAATATATCTTGTAATTGTCTAACTTACAGATAGAGTTGGGCATTCCAGAACTTGTTGGGTGGATACAGACTTGTGTTGGAAACATGGAGTAAGCTACTCAAGGACAAACTTTTTAATCTTTGTGTGTAGTGATTTGAGCTTTTCCTGTTTCACCCTTTCAGCAGCAGTAATTCCTGGAGCCACCTTCACTAAAATGGGCTTCGAAAACCCATATTGCATCTCTAGCTACTGCTTTTGTAAACGCCTTGTTTTGCTCAGATACCTGTAGAGATAAAATTTATATGTAGTAATAAGCTACAAGGAGAGCTTGTATATCAATAATAAGGGAATACCTTAGCATAAAGCACTGTGTTCTTTTAGTCTTTGGAAACAGAATAAATTAATCTGAATAACCTTGGCAACCAGCAGACTTAAAAATGAGTCCTTGCCTGAATTCAGTCACAGTGATTCTGGTGGACCTATAAGGTTTCATTAGCTTCTTTCCAGAATGATTTATATTAAAAGACCACTAAATTTTATTTTAAGATTTAAATGATTTGCTTTGCTGGCTCCAGGGGCTTTACTGGCAATTTCAATAATATAAGTAAAGTTGAATGCTTATTTTACCTTTCCTTCTCATCGCAATGTTTCTGGCCTCTCTGAATTCGGGGTTTGCTGTACGCTTGGCCCTAGATCTTTGGCAGATTTTTTCCCGGTCTTAGTACTGTGATAAGTTGACCTGCTTTTAACTTACCCCACCACATGTTCCTCCCTTCCCAAATGAATTGTCAGGGACTTACCTGTCCTTGGAGGATTTTTCAGTCGCTGTGGTGTTTACCTGTCTGCACTCTACAGTGTGAGGGTGAGCAGCCAACCTAAAAGCTACACTCGGCCTCCAGCCTACGTGCAGAAGCAGCCCGTGCCTCGACTGTGATGTTTGTGGTAAACGTGAGGACTCTGTGTGCAGATCAGGGCAGCATCCACATAAAAGCATCGAGTTAGCTGGTCAACAGTGACAAAATGCTTATCTTCATTGCAAAGGCTACCTCCTTGTTGTTGCTGGGTTTTAATTGTTACTAGTTTGTGTCATCAAACGTCTTTCATGCTATGTAAACTGGTGCTCTGCCTTCCCCCTGTCTTCAAAGAATGCGGTTCCCTGCCTTACCGCTAATTTTACAAAAAGAGCTTTCCTTCCCTGCTTCCCTCCTTTTACTTATTTTTTTTTCTCCTTACTTTTAATGATATCCTTCCGCCTGAGTTGTGCCCTCCAACTTTTTAATTTCGTTTCACAGCTTTTCAGAATCCATTACCAGTTTACTACCTTTGTCAGTGTCTTGTGTGGAGCTACCAATAAAAGCAGCTCGTGAATACATTTTCTTTGTTCTTTAGGTGGTGATCTTTGGTAGAGAAAGCTTCAGCTGTTTGATCCCGTTGCCTTCAGTGTCCTTTAGATGCACGTTTTCATACTAAAGAACAGCCTGAACCTAGTGAGGCTAAAATTACACCACAGAAATCTGTGATGCTCTTCTAATCCTTTCTTTCCAGCAGTTTAGTTACGTTCATGTGTGTCCTATTTCAAATTACAGTGGGCCTACGCCAAATTTGCAAGGATTTGCAGCAGAGGGGAGATCCCCACAAGGCTACAAGAAATCCATGTCGTTCATAGTGTGGTTTTCTCATCCTTTTTGTTTCACATTCCCCCCAAAGAATAATACAGGGGTGTAACATGCTCCCATATAATTAACTCAATTGACAGGAGCCTCACTTTTCTTAGTTATCAGTTGTAGATTCCTTCACAGCTTAAACTACTGGATTCAAGTATCGAAGTAGGGAAGATAAAAAAATCCCCTGATCTCACTGACAGAAGGAATCTTGAGTAAACAAAGAACTGCGTTACAAAAATTGGGAAAGCAAACCTTTGTTTCATTCACTGGTGTGAAATAACGTAACACTAAGTGACCTAAGTGTTTATTTGAAAGTGTTTCTCAGCAGGCTAATAATGCCACAAATACATACATTACAATGAAAACAGTAGCAGCTAATGCAAAATGCCAAGGACTGAAAGACGCATCACAGAGGGCTGCTAAGTAAAGGCTTAATATAAAATGGTAATATGGTAATATCGTAGTTGTAAAGCTAGTTACAAGGAGTTGCATAAGCGACATGAAGACAGCGCTTTGAATTTGCATATATTGCTGTTCTGCATTTATTTCTAG